GATTTCCATTCAACAAAAACATAAAGTTCCCATAACAAATATGGTTAAAAAACACCCTTTGATAAACTTATAATATCATCAAGTAAACCTTTGTTACAAAATGATTTTCAAGATAAACTTCTGTTCAATCAAAAGTTCCAAAATTACAATACATAAATAATCTAAAATCAAAGATCTATATATAGAGTCCTCATTTTTTTAAATCATGTTTTGATAAAAAAGCTTTCAAAGTTTTATTTTTGATAAAAAAATAGACAATACACAGTCCCTTAAAAATTGTCAAGCTTCATTTTCTTTAATGTTAAACAACATTGATTAGTTATAAGATATAATGAGAGCCACAATACAACATCTAAATAGTGATTCTCAACCTTCCTCATGCTACGGCTCTTTAAGATAAATTCTTTATGTTATACTAACCCTCAACTGAGAGATGTTTGAGATTGTTTTCATTTACTATTATTGTTTCATAGTTATAATTTTGCTCGTTGTTATTATTGTTTTATAGCCATAAGTTTGCTACTGTCATAAATTGTGATATACATGTCTGATATACAAAATAGATTCTCGTTTACTTGATCTAATTTGACACACATACCTATACACAACAATTTAAATACTGATAGAGTTGGTGTTGATTTCAAAATCAAGAGTTATAGTTCCTGAGATTCATAGTTCACAATCAAAAAACGTTCTAAACTCCACCAACAATAAAATTATACCAAACTTGACACACACAACTTCAAGTCCCTTTCATTTCAAAGGGTCAATTATATATAAGACTCAAATTACATTCAACTTATACACTCTTAAATTTTAATCACACCTAAAAACCATACATTTCATCTGATGCTTACAAATAAATCAGCTCCACAAAAACACACTTCTTACAAAACATTGGTTGACAACACATGCTTACATGATAACATATCTTGCTATGTTATTAATCATATTACACATTAAACATTTTTGCTTAGTTCATTTTAAGATTGAGTTTATTAAGTCTACAAATCATAGTTTTGTTTATTTCTTTTGATGTTCTTTTCCCTTTCCTAAGACACCAAACTCCCCCCCTCCATATCAAACACAACACGCTAAAATCAACATTTTAAAAAATCTGATCTCAGCTTTCAATAGATCAAACCATTATATCATAAATCTACCACACTACAAACACACACCCCTATTCGTTACCCACATCTCAGCCAAAGGTTTAAAATACCTACTTCATAAAAACGTTAATAAAACGATACTCAAAACCAGACATTTATTGCTTTATTCACACATTATATCTCTACCTTACACACTAAAATCCATCAAAAAATCTCTCCCCTCTGCGAGAGAGATTCAAGCCGACAGACACGATACCCCAAAAAAAGGAGAGACATACATTCCACAAATAAGAGATAAGCCGTCCCAGCCAC